AGCTATATGCAGAAAACTAAAGAAAAATGACAGCCTACAAATGGGAACAGAACATTTAATAATAGCTACGGCTATTGTTTTGTAGTATTAAAATAGTGTCGACACTACAAATCTTATCCCCAAGTAGTTGCATAAAATTAGGAAAGGTGATATCACTCCACATCATATTCTTAATGGGCAAACTGTTGATAATCAACACTATCACATAGTGAGCTTAACAAGAGTGTTGGATATTTACTGTAATTTATGCTTAATATTTGTAAGAGTAAATTTTGTCTTTACAGTCAAGCCTCCATCCAGGAAGAACTTATAAACGGTTTAATGGAATGTGTGGTTGAAAATGAAGTTGGACCACTTATAAATGACTTACAAATTTTGCCAAACTGGAGGCTAAATTTACGACAATACAGATTATCTTGGTAACTATTTCTTTAAGTTGCAAGGAGACGATTTGGCCCAAGATTGACTTTAGTTGTTTTTATCCAAGTGATTTGCATAAACTTCTCAACCTATTGTAAACTATGTGCAGGTATGGATATGGCAGGTTTCAGGTGCTATAGTCCCAAGATCTTCATAAATCATTTTAGAACACAATTTTTTTTGCTATTCTATCTAGTATACACATATTTTCCTTGCAGCCTTAAAATAAAGCCTTGGACATCCACCAATTTTTCCTTCAGTATTTTACAGCATGAGTAGTCCTACCTCTCTAGTGTGAATTTCCATGTACACCTACAATCCTAGCTTCTCTCATTTGTCTTTTTCTTTTTAGGGATAGAGATCTTAAGCTTTGACTCAATTTATTGATCTGTATTCTGATCAATTTTCAGAAAATACACACCATTACATTTAGCCTTTCTGAATGAAGAGTTGGTTACATATCCTTTTGTGAAATGGTGGCAAATTTTGCTTCTTCTACAACTTATTATACAAAGAATTCAGTCTTTCTGTATTTATTATTGCTATTAGTGCACTTGAACTACTCGATCTAAAGGTTTAAGCTGTTATAGAGACGAACAAACATATTTATTCTAATTATAACTCCACCAAATTCATTAATCGGTATATTTATATACCACTTAACAAATTCATTATCTATGGTCGGTGGTTCATGGAATCTTCCTCCCGCAGGGATATAATTATGAGCATTGCCAAGCATTATGAAACCGGAGAAAGTCTTCCCGAAGACTTATGCTCAAGCATTCTTTCAGCAAGGACATTTAGGGCAGGTTCACAGCTACTTCGTCAGGTAAGTGTGGAAGCCAATGATGCCTATAGCTCAGGTGGCAAAGGCTGAGGCACGAGGATTACACAATTCTGATTTTAAATCCCACCAAGTATGCAAAAACTAAGAGCATTTCCAGACTCTGTATTTTTAAAAAGCATATTCTAAAATTTAGGTTGCAACTATAAATTTAGAAAGTAAAATTTTTTAAGTATTTCAACAAACTTTTTATATTTAACACTTAATTTTACTACTGTAAAAAAATATATTATTTTTCTCTATCTTTTTATTTTCCCCAGCTTCCTTCCAAATTATTATATCATTTTCCTCTATTGAAAATTGAAATACTTTGAATGTATTTAATTAATGAGAGTGGATTTGGCTCTCCAAATTTGGAGAGTCAGACTCACTCTCTAAATTAAAATGTTAATTTAAAGAATCTCATGGAGTGTAATTTTAAAGATTGACTCTTTAAAATAAAAAGGATATGTTTAAAGAGTCTCTTGAAGATGCTCTAATTTAATTATGTATTATTTTGTCTCTCTATCGTCGGCTTTGTTAATAGTTGATTGATTGTTGATTATTTATATGGGTAACATTAAGTTGCAGTTTCTTATTATATCGAACTGATTAATAGCATCACTCAGAAAAGTGATAGTAAAACAATTCTCAAAGTTTATCTGTCACTTCTTGATTAATTCTTCAAATTAATAGAATAACGTAAAGCTATATAGGGGGGAACTGCGGCTTTTACCTATCTGGAAATTCCTTAATAAAATATCCAGAAGGATTTGTAATACCTCACTTTAAAGAAATTAAAGGGTTATGACAGATTTACCGTTTCAGCATCAAGGGTAAGCTGCAAACACAAGCAGATATGTCGTGAATTATTTTCTATAGATTTTCATGTATAATTATATACTATTTTGTTGTTTTCAGCTGCGTTATGCTGGCATTGATTTGGAGCTTCACTCAAATTATGTACCAGGTGGACAAGAGTCTATATATGATATTGATCAAAGAGTAGGGAAAAAGACACATATAATCCCACTACTTCCAGAGGACAGATTTCTTTGTAGTTTTGAACACATCTTCGCTGGTAGCTCACTATTACATTTTCCGAGCCAATGTACAATCTTCTTAACAAATTAATAATTTCTTATTTGAATATGCAAATTACAGATAAATATGCAGCTGGATATTACAGTTATCAGGTGACTTTGATTACTCTATTTGCGTTTATAAAAGTTCTTGTCAAAGTTCATTCCTTGCAAATCAATTATAAAATTTACAAATCCAGTATTCATGATATTATTAATAGTTTCCATATCTTGGTCACATCCAGTCATGTTTGATCTTCCTATTTCAGTATAAAGATTTACTCTGCAAGTATATTGAGAGAAGCACAATTATTTCTTTATGCTTACTTTTTTACTCTTACGCATATATATAATTTTCTAAGAATGCTGCGAGTTTGCATGTCTGACTATATTTCAGAATAACATCTCCCAAACAAATTTGTCATGTTTAATTATGCAAGAAACTTCTTTTTACTTGTACTTTATCAAGTATCCTTATGTTTCAGTGGGCCGAGGTGTTAGCTTATGATGCCTTTTCGGCATTTGAGGAGGCTGGGTTGGACAATGACCAGGTGAGGCTGTAGGATTTGCATTCTGTTATATTAGTGCTTTTTTCCCTTGACAGTACCTACCAATGCTGTTGGGGATTTATCTTCCCCACAGCCCAGGATTAATGCAGAGTTTACAAAAAGAAAATGCACCAGCAATGCAGGAGAAAATGACAGCAGAAAACAGATGTAAAACCAGCAGAAAAATAACCAGCTGCAAGAAATAAAACTACAGAACAGATTGGAAACAGGAAGAGTTGTTCTTCCTCAATCTTTATTGACCAAAGATTACATTCATTTACATGAATCAGTAGAAAGAATTTCCAGATTGATTTTCCCAAAGACTTCTCACTCTCACAATCTACACTTCCTACTACAAGAAAAAATTCTGCATTTTTTCTCTAACCTGAATTACAGAATTCTTCAGAGTTTTACCACTCTCAAGCTCATATTCAGAGCTCCATTTTCTACAGAAACTCCCTCTCATTCAAAGCTCTCTACCGAGCTCTCTTTTTCTGTATCTCAAGCTCCATTTTTCTCACAGAGATACACTCTGTTTCGAGCTCTATTTGTCTCCAGTCTACTGCTGTTATTTATAGGCATATATGAGGTTCCATTGCTAACCAACAAGGCTCCAAGTTGTTGAAGATGCTAACCAAAAAATGGTAGTTGAAACAGGTGGTTAAAGGCTCCAATCTGTTGGAATCTGTTTTGTATAGGTTGAGGAATCTTCAAGGAATCAATTTCCTTACAAATGCTTTTGTGAACCTTATAACTTGTGTAGTTAGCTCAAATCACCTCCATCTTCTTCAACAGACTCTTAGAGAAATGGGCATCAGATTTCAAGAAACGGTCCTTGCTCTTGGAGGTGGAAAATCGCCCAACGAGGTAATGCAACATAAAGAAAATTATGTTTTCTGCAATTTGCTAGGACAAGTGATTTTGTTCGAGTGCATCAAATATCTGGAGAACATGGTAATATCCAGGCTTAGAATGCATGCTTATCGTAATGTTCTTTTTTTTTTTCCTTTTTGAGTAGAAAATTTGCATTATCTAAAGTTATTTTCTTTTACATTGCAGGTTTTCCTAGAGTTTCGTGGACGTGAACCTTCACCAGATGCATTTCTTCGCTACAGTGGCTTACTACCAGCCATTATTGCAGCTTGAGCTGAGTAGAAATAACCAATTTCTGGCTGCAGAGTAGTGGCAAGGTGGAGCATTTTGTTATGTTCTAATGCACTATGAATAGTAACTTATTAAAGTTTCATATAATTTACTTATAAAGAACCCAAATACTACACTTTACCTTTGCTTAACTTGAGCTACGTATATAGAGTGATTGCTGGAAAAATTCATGTTCAATTTGTTAAATTACAGTATATTGATTTGAAGGATGGCAAGAAATGAAATTCACTTTTAAGATAATTAATAGTACAATTTGTGTGTCAATTAAAAAAAAGGTTTAATTCTTGAATGTATCCCGCCTAGAAAGTACGTTCGCAAGAATAAAACTCAAAGGAATTGACGGGGGCCACACAAACGGAGGAGCATGTGGTTTAATTGAATTTTGCTATTTTGTCAGATGATCTTACCAGAATCAGATTGCCAAAATGAGTTGGCAAATTGTGATTGGATAGTTGGAAAATGTTTTGGCCCAACTAACAATGAAATGTTGCCAAGTGTTAATCTGACACAATTATGATAAAATCAATTTGGTAATAATGTAGCATAACTAGGTTTAATTTGATGCACATCTAAGAATCTTACCTAAGGCTTGACATGCCGCGAATCCTATCTAAAGACCCGTGCTCAGGGCAAGAGGGGTAGAGAAAATGTCTCCCATCAATGTTCGAGCACCAGGCTTAATTTTAGTAAAATGACATGTAAAATTTTCCCATGCATTCTCATTTGAAATTAGTGGACTTCAGACTATTCAATTATACAAAGAAAAGCTACAAAAAAGTGTTTATTTGATTACAAGTAGTGACAACATTACATTATTTCAAATTAGAATATTACAGTCAATGTCAAAGTTATCGTTGATAGGTTACACATCTCAAAATTCAGCTGTTTGATTGTTTTGATGCTTGATTTTCTCTAGTTTTCGCTGTGTTAAGGTGTTCGACTCTCCATCAAGGTAATCTGCAGTTAAAGTCGAATATTTATTTTCTCAGACATTTTCTTGATATCGGAATGAATCCTGTCACCCCCTAACTCTGCACCGGATACTCCAGCAGCTACTCGTAAAATATCCTCAATCAAGGCAACATTTCCCATTATATCGACATGTGCACCACTTTCTAGTCCTCTCCCTTCAAGCAAACTAGCTGGTGGCTTGTGCTCGTACTCTCTTATGTATGTAGCAATGCCAGATGGGTTGAAGCGTGTTTTTCCTTTCCACCCTTTTGCACACATGAAACCCGCACTCAAAACTGGTACACTCTCGTCTCCATCTGCAAAGTATACTCCACCCTTTAAGCATCCATTGTCACTTCCTTCTGCTGAGCTGTCGATTTGTAAAGGAATGGTCTTGCACCTACCAGGGGGTGATAGTTTGTACACGTAAGATCTTTCAGTAGGAATTCCGACCCCATATAGACAGTAAATTTCCATATCTGGAGCATCAGGCAACCTGAATAAAGAATATGTTAAAAAGAAATAATGAAACATGTTTATTCTGCTTGTTATCATTGCAAAGCCCTTATCAAGTACATGCAGATGAAGTTGATTGTAGCAGCGTCACAGAATCTTTATGCTTACTTCGTCTCAAGTGGATTAGACCAGTACTTATAATGGTTGTACTTTGGATCGTCTAGGTCATCAGCTATTCCATGTGAGAAGTGAGTTTCAGCCCGCTTCATCATCTTTGGAGCAATAAAGTGAAGTAGATGCAATAGAGTTCTCACAGTGTATGCTTTGTTCTCAGCAATTTTTTGGATGCTTTCCTGGCTCATCTCATTATATTCCGTCCATACATTGCCACACGATGAGTAGGAATTTGGGGAGCTATCACCGTGAACAAATTCCTGTTTCTAGGCTCATTTAGTTTGAAGAATAAAGATAACAATTAAGATTTTTAAATTCAAAGGACTTCAAGAGTAATTCATTTAGCAAAGCTTTGTTGGAGTTATTATTTATTTGACGTCGTTCAATACCCTATAAGAAAAGAGTAGTCATGAATTGCAACATTAAAAGACGGGAAAGTTATACCTCAGAACCAAGAACAGGGAGGTGTGAAGACGGCAAGTCCGATGATGCCTTCCCAAAAGAAATAATCCGTCCATACTTTGTTAGTTCTTGTACTCGGAAACTGGTCCCTCCTTCACTATTATTTTCATTCTTCCCATTATTGTACTTTTTTTTTGCTGAATCACATACATGGCCTTCTTCTGGAGACCAATCCAAGTTACCCCAAATGGTCTCTCCTCCTTTAGGTATCAAAGAAATTATGGAGTCCCATGTTCTTGAGACGCGCATGACATGCTCTAAAGTTTGAAAGCCGAGAAATTCGGAATCTAAAAGACCTGGAGCCATAGCTCTGCAATTATCACAAGCAGAAGTTGAGTACCTTGTGCCATAATGTTTTTTTCCGCATAATTCTTTATATTTACATTGCGACGAAACTAATTCAGTTCTATTGTTGACAATGTAATATATAATTATTTCACCAGGGAAATGTAAAAGGAAACATTAAAATAATTTTTCTAACTGCACAAGTAAAATGATGTGGTATAAACTTAACAATATATTTAGAATATAGTTGTTGGATTGTATGAAGGTTAATCAAAATTTACAGTCTCCACTTCAAATCGACCTCATAATCCTATATACATTGGGAGGCCGTCTTTTTCACTGCAGGAGTTAGTATGAAAAATTTTGAATTCTTCTTCTTCATTATAGTGAAAATCTGTGGTGGTAAGAGGAGTATTAACCACTGTAAATTGTGTGGGCGTCATCGTTTCTCTTCTCATTTGTTATTACTTTCTATAGTAGGGACTGAGCCTTAATGCATTACATATATAGTAGTAATGATACAATGGATTTTGGACATTCATGTTCGTTTAGGACTCGAAAACTGCTTTTAAAATTATGGTGCTATTTTTGTCATTTAATTTATATCTAATTCTTTGCAATTTTAATTTGTTTAAACTCGGTTTTCATGTAAAGTCTTAAAAATAAAGGGTTAATTCCTCGCTTTTGGTCATCTTACATTAATAGAATTTCTTGAGTTTATATTTTTTTTAATGGATTCCAAAATTGTATTTTTAAGGTTTTTGCTTAAATTCCTTATTTTGCACTGCGTCGAAAATACTTTGGTAACATCACATTTAGGAAATTAAATATATTTGTGTTAATCAATCAAAGAGAAACTAACAACATCCTATATATAATGTGGAAAGAGCATATATAATAAAGACCAACCTCATAAAAGCGACATCTTTACTCTCAGCAGACAGGATATTACTGACAGCTTTCGGAACGCCAAGAAACGCCGGACCGATGTTCATTATTGCCTTAATGTGTTTGGCACACCAACCAAGGCCACCACCTCCTCCGATGGGTGGAGGTGATTCAACCCATTTAAGAAAGTGGAGAAAATAGATTACCCCCATTGAATGAGGCACCACCACCACTTTTTTATTGCCATTTGTTACATACATAAGCTCAATTTTGCTCTTCAATCTACTAAGTGTTTGGTCCCTTATCTGATCATGCCTCAATTATAAGTATATTAGATAAAGATCAACTCAATTCAAACTGTCTTATGCATACCTAATTCTTAACATTGATAAACAATAAGATATGGAATGAACATTGAAATCTGACCTCTCGCACGTATTGAACCACCTCGTCTAAATGCTTAAAAACGTTCATATCTATTCAAAGTTAAATACTACCACTGGTATTTGCAAAATTAAACCATGGATATGGCAAGTGCAGGTCCCTTATACCTCTGTATTTTGAAAGGATAATCTCCAATCATAAGCAGCCATATACATATTCTTCCCCTCATAGCCAATGCGTGCCAAATTCTCTATAAGAATAGCCCATACAAAATATCCAGGAGCAAAATAGTCAGCTGCAACCAGTCCCGGGACAGCCCGAATCCGAATCCCTGGCGGATCAAGTCCTGTTTCATTGTCTAAAGATAGATGCTCCAACCAACACGTAGGCCTAAAATTTCATCAAAATACTCAATTGGGTGTCAAAATCGAAATCAATATCCTAAAACTGAAACACAAAAATAAAATAAAAATAAAAATAAAATCCAATTATGCAATTCAAACCTCTTGAAAATCTCTGTAAAGCTACCGCCCCAAAGCCGCCTGCGGAAAAGACCATCATAACAAGGCTTTCCCTCCCAGAGCTCCAGTCCTCCGGTGACAATGCCTGGCACCAAGACAATGGGATGGAGCGCGGTCAGGCCTTCACGCTTCAGCCTCGATCCGGGCGGCTCGGGCACCTTAAGTCCAGGCAAATTACCAGGCAAACAATGAAATAGAAACAAGAGCAACCACCAGGTGGTGCACATGTACCCAATTATCCAACAGCATGAATCCATGCGCCTCCATTCTTTTGGTTGTTTATTCTGCTTCTTCCTTTTAGGGTTCCCTTCTAACACCTGAGAAACAGCACCTTGATTTTCACTCTCAACGTTAGGCGTTTCATTTGATTTCTTCTCATCAGTTTTTGGTTGATCAGATGAAGAATAATTGACAGGCTCAAGAAAGAAAAGCTTTCGAAACCGAAGAATATAAGCCATTGCAGAAAATTTTAGCTCAAGACTAGCTATAATGATAATCCATCTATGAAAAGATAACAATTTGAAGCATGCAAAGTAATTTAGTAGATATTGGGAGCACGGTTGCTCAAGAATTAGAAGAATTTATCAATATATAGTTAGAAAGATGGACGTGAAAAAGTGTAGTGTAGCATATGGTTATGGGGGTGTTGGCTGGAGGTACAGAGTGCTAAACCACGTGGTGGAGTATGAGATAGGGAGGTGTCTTTACGCGCACCACTAAACAACATCTGGGTATTGATATTTGAATTAAATTGTTACCCACAATGTCCAAAAGCTCGATTCGAAAACAACTTGGACGTTTGGAAGTAGCATAAAAAATTAATGTTGCTCCCGACTCATATATATTACCTTTTGGATGACTTTGAATTATGGCCCATTTAAATATTTTATTTGTTCAACTAAAGTCTAACATAGTCTATATATATATGGTGTATTTATCCTAGCCGTAATGTGTGTGATTTGTACGTATGAAAGTGAGAAAAAACGTGTGGCCTTAGTAGAGAGGAAAAACGGCTGCTTAGAAAACCACTTATTAACTTTGTGTTATTGCTTCCGTCTTGTGCAATCTTTTTATTGTTTTTCTTTCTTGCCTTAATCACTACAAATCATCACCGTTATCTTGTCCTTTATGAGTGAGATTGAGGAGCAACCGAAGTAAATATATTGATCGTGAGTTGGAACTGTTTGGATTGGTTGTTTAGTAGAAAAATTAACATAAAACTGAGCCCAAAAAACACCGTTTTGACGATACTTGGAACGAGCTTCCAACACGAGATCTGTAAATTGAGTTTAAGAAGAAAAAGGAATTTTAGTACCAATTTTCTTGAGCCATAATGAGTCCAATACAGATTTTTCATTTAGAACATGTCTTAATTGCCTGCCTTTGTCAGCTATCACCACACTGTTAAGTGAGTCCCGTTATGCTTTTTCTTTTGCCTCTTTTACCCGTACAAGTCTCTCTCACAAAAATTTTATGTCTAGGAGCATAAAATGATCCTCAGAAACAGCAACATTGGTAAAAAATTTACTGTTACTGTTTGGCGACGTAAATTCCCGATGTATGGAGAATGAGAGTGAGACCTATGAACAGTTACTGTTTGGCGACGTAAAACACAGTATAAAGAGAGAATCCAAAGGAAGACAGTCCCAGTGATGGAAGAAATAGCACACATTACTAAAATCACAGATACCCAAATGGTGGATGTCGTTGTGGACCAATTTACAGGTTCGGGAGCAGACAAAAAAGATTGATGGCTATGTTTGGTAATATATGAATAATTAATGTTGTATCTATAGAATATTGTTCCGGCACAGGGATGTTAGGTGAAAGGGGCAAGAGAATGAGATGAAGGGTGGGAGTGAGGGGGCACAGTCTTTAAGGAGATGGGAATGGTATGATGAAATTCTTGGCTTTTTGCAGGTTCAGGGATGCTGTTTCTGCAGATTGCAGCGTAAGTTCCGCTGGGTGGTATGGTCAATTTCAGGCTTGGACTTCAACGGTCGGAATTGGGTCATACTGAGGAGTGGAAGGTGCATAATTCGTCGTGATTAACTATTTGTAATCATTCATTACCGTAGTCGTTCTACGTAACATACATGTGACGATTAATGATTTGATACATAAGACAATAAAAACTACTACATTAATAAATCAAATTATTAACAATCGCATATATGCCACATAGGGCAACTACGATAGTAAACTACTGCAAATAACATTATTCATAAAGAAAAACTTTTTCACTTTTTTTTCGACACCTCGTCTTTAAAAGATTATATAAATGATGGTGTACAACAAATATTTTTAAAAGAAAAAATTGTGAGCATGTCATTACTCGAGAGAATGAAACCCACGGACACATTGGCTGCGAATTCCCTTCCCCTGGCTGTGAAGTGCGATGAGAAGTTGCAAACCCTTAATCGTTAATCCATTCCCTTCACCCTAGTCTCCCGTCCTCCCCCTCCCCCGCAAAATTCTCTTCCAATGTGAAAGTGAAATCGGTCCCTTCCTAGTTGCCTCCCCCCAATTCTCAAACCTTGCAAACTCCAATAGCCGAAAAAGAAGACGAAGAAGAACGGGTTGAAGATTTGAAGAAAGTTTTGTAAGTTGAATCAATTTCGAAATGAATTCGTTATCCACGCACACACTACCTCGCTTCTTAGTTCTTGGTGTCTAGCCTTTCAATTTTCGAGTTTTTATTCCTCTAACTACGATTTAAAGGCGCCCACTACATGTTTGATTTTTTGCTTGATTTATAATGAGATGATTTATTGATTTGGATTTTGGTTTTGCCCATTGACTGTGTAACGCCCCGAGTTTCGTGAATCCGGATTGTTACGTCATCGTCTTTTGTAACTGATTTAACTAAAAGGTTTGCGGAAAATAACAAAATTTAAGACATCGTATTTATAACTATAAAACTTCGTCTGCAACAAAATTCATTTGATTACTTAAGAAAAATCGTTTAAATTTCAGAACTCAAGTTTGAAATAATGGGAACAACAAAGTTAGTTCATAATGCGTAAATTTCAAAAGTAAATAACTTCGACTATTAATTTATGCCACCATGCCCATCACACTCGACCGTCTCCGAAATCTGCAAATATTGTTAAAATAACGGAATGAGTATTTCGATGAAATATTCAGTAGACTCATCGCCGATAATTAATTATAGAATAATTGAATACGTAATCATGCAATTCATATCGTGACATTATCATCATAGGCTCATTTTCTTGAAAATCATAGGCTCTTTAAAAAGCATAGAGTGTGGGTAGTCTCATTTCGTGCATTTAAGCACATAAATTATGCGTAACATTCTCATCTTATCTCATAAGAGATTCTCGTCTTCTTCTCATCTAATAAAGCATATAAGTTATGACAAGTATAACAATATCATATATCTCATATGACATATTCTCATCTCATGCATCAAAACATATAAATCACGTAAATTCACATAATACATGCAATTCATAATTTAAAATAATTAATGGTGATGAGTCTACCTCAAATATCTCGAGTTGCGTGAAAAGTGGAGCAGAGGAAATCTCAATCTTCTAATTGTTCGTACGTTTCGTTTAGCCAAAATAGAAATTAGGTTTT